CAGGTCTGGTTGCAGGGGTCCTTGTGTGCGGGGGTGGGGGTTGCTGAGTTGCAGGTCTGGTTGCAGGGGTCCTTGTGTGCAAGGGTGGGGTTGCTGAGTTGCAGGTCTGCCTGCAGGGGTCCCCATCAGCAGCCTTCGGGAGATCACACTGCTTCTTCGCCTTCGCCATCCGAATATCGTGGAGCTGAAGGAGGTGGTTGTTGGGAACCACCTGGAGAGGTACGCAGTCTGCTGAGCCCGCCCTGCCCGTCCCCTCCCCGTGCTTTCCCCAAGCACAGTTCGTCCTTCCCGCAATCTGGGAGGGTCCTGTGGCCTAGGAGGACGTGCGAGCCTCCGTGTGTTTCCCCTTTCCTTCCAGCATCTTTCTGGTGATGGGTTATTGTGAGCAAGACCTGGCCAGCCTTCTGGAGAACATGCCGACACCGTTCTCGGAGGCCCAGGTGTGAGGCCGGGGGCCGCGGAGCAGGTGCACCTCCACATTTGTGCCAAACGCGTATCGCCTTAACTGATGCCTTCTGCCTTTGTGTAGGTCAAGTGCATTGTCCTTCAAGTGCTCCGAGGACTTCAGTACCTGCACCAGAACTTCATCATCCACAGGTAGGAGGGGCCTCAGGTGGTGGGGGATGGCATCATCGGGGCGGGGGTTGCCGAAGGGACAGATGTGCCCTCGTGACGCAGGGGAAAGGTGACCTGGCTTCGATGCATTTCTCTAACCGTTCCTTGGGGCAGGATCCAGGCCCAAACAGCACCTGCTTTCCACCCGGGGGACTGACTGTGTGGACACATCCCTCCTGGAGTCTCGTTACGCACGGGAAAATGCTATGACTGGAAGAGGATGGAGGGGGGGTCCTCCAGGCCCACAGCAGTGGTTTCTTGTATCTTGGAGCAGCTGGTGCAGCCCTGGGTGGGGATGGGCACGGGAGGAAGTCAGGCCTGGGCTTGCTGCCCGGCTCTGCCACTTCCTGAGGAAGTTACTGAGAGCTCTGCTACTCCAGCTGCCAGATGGCCTTCTGCTGCCCACCTTCCCTGTTTTTAAAAAGTTCGGGGACGCCCGGGGGGCTCAGGCAGTTAAGTGTCTGACTCTTGGTTTCGGCTCAAGTCGTGATCTCACAGCTTATGGGATCAAGCCCCACACCAGCCTTGGCACTGACGGTGCAGAGCCTGCTTGGGATTCTTGATTTCCTTTGTCTCTGTCCCTCCCCTGCACATGCTCTCTCCCTCCTTCCCTCTCTCTCTCTCTCTCTCTCC